AGCTAAATTACCTACTGTGTATTAGATTCCTTGCTAAGCTGTAGGGTATGTGTTGTTCAACAAGACAAGCATGGATACAAAGAAACATGCTTTCTGTCCTCAAGCAACTTGCAAGGGAGACTGGTCTTTCCCTATTTGGTAGATAAGGTGGGTGTGGAGTGTTTTGGGAGAGCTCTCATATGGTATAGGGATTAAAGGAAATCAAACCAAAACCTGAAGTCATGAGGTCGGTGGTGAAAAGGGCATATTATAGGGGCATGGGACAGTATGTGGGTAAAAGTTTGTTTTGTTTGAGGAACAAGGAGGTCAGACTACCTGGAGTGGAGTATGGTAGATGAATTGGAGGCTGATTACTCATGTTTCTCTTCTCAGAAATACCTGTTTGTATCTTTTGTCCATTTGAAAAATGAGGGTTTCTTTTTGTTTTCCTTGAAGATATGTAGGAGTTCTGTGTCAGATTCCTTTTCATTCCTTTCATGTAGATAGACTAGCTTGCAAGTATTTACAGAGTTTCAAATGAGAAAGGATGGTGGCCTGAAATGTAGCAGTAGCAGTGACCAAAGTGGATAGTTTCAAAAGATAGTTCAAAGATGAAATTAATGAGATTTGGAAAGTCAGCATAAATATGGGATGAAAGTCACTTGCAGGCTTGAACAAGTAGGGGATGAGAAAGGGAACATTAGAGGGGAAGCAGAGGGCTTGAGGAGTGTCAGATGCTCTAAAAAGTCAACGAAAATAAGGTCTGAAAACTGTTTTTTGGGTTGAGTGACCTGGAATTCGCTGATTACCCTGGAGAGCAATTTTCTTGGAGGACAGAATCCAGATTTCAGTGGATTGAAGAAGGGTGGAAGGTGAAAAATAGGCAACTCAGGAGGTTTGGCTAAGAAGGCAAGGGGCGAGAGAGGATGGCAACTGGACACAACTGGACAAGGATGAGAGTCAAAGCAGGTGTTTGGTTGTTTTTTCTTTTTTTCTTTTTCTTTTTCTTTCTTTCTTCTTCTTCTTCTTCTTCTTCTTCTTCTTCTTCTTTTTTTTTTTTTTTTTTACTTCTTTTCATTGTGAGAAGCTCCGGTGTGTCAAAATGCTCCCAGGATGGCCCCAGTAGAGGAGGAGATGTTGTAAAGGCTAGAGTGAATCTATAGCTATGTCTTCAGGAAGCAGGTTGCCAAGCCCAGCTGGAAAATTGAATAGCGAACCGTATTGTAATTGAAGAAAGTAGGAATTGTTGGCTTGGGGTGCTTTTTTGGTTTGTTCGATTTGGTGGCAGAAGAGTGAGACTCTGTTTTTCCCATGAGATGGTAATAAAATCATCTGCTGATAGAAGGCACACAGGACAGCGAATAGTTTGAGGAAGAGGGAACTTGGAGAACGAGCTGAGAAATCAGACCATTGAAGGATTGTTGAGCAGTGTTGAAGTGCTCATAGCTGTGAGCATCATAACCATGATTTATAGTGATGTCATTCGCTGTGTGATTTACTTCAGTCGTACCTAGCAGACCAGAGGTAGTCCTGGAGATGGCTGAGCCAGTGCTGGGGTATCACCATGTGCTCGTGATGCCAGACAGTGCAGCAAGGAGATGTGGGATACTGATAAGGAGAACGTAGTGTTCACTTTGTGTGTCGTCTCTCTTTATAAAAAACTGTGGACATATTTTAGTTGGTGCTGACTATATTTTTTAATCGCTGGAAGAAACAGGCTTTTATATTTGAAGAATGCAACTTGGAAATGGCCCAAGACAGAGCTTCTCAAAGTTGTGGTCCCTAGAACAGCATCATTAACATCACCGGGGAAATTAGAAATACAGATTCTGAAGTTCCACTCCAGACCTGGTGAATCAGAAACTCTAGGGATGGGACCCAAGAATATGTGCTTTCAATCCAGGAATGAGTGAGTACATAAATAGAGAAACGGAGAGGACCTCCATCTGTCAATCGCTTGATTGCTCATTAAATCCACCTCTATAGTTAAAAGAAAAAGGAAATCATACCAAATACAGAAGCTAGTTAGGCAGTTATTTCCTGGTTTCATTAATGATGTTTGCAAATAAAAGCTCTTGTTAGCTCTCAAAGTTCACATGTATCTTTTTTTAAAAACTCATTTGTTTCATACATGAGATAAAACTGGAATAGCAAAATATATTTGTGAGTGGATAATAATTAATAATTAACTGAGAAAGCCTAGGTATTTGGTATAGGAACTTTAAAAGTAAATTTTTATTGTCTATTTCCAATTATAAAAAGAATATATATTAACTTTAAAATTTATAAAATATAGAAAAAAAAGAACCAAAGTCATTGATAATGCCATAATCTAGAGATACCATTATATTTTGGCTTATTTCCTTTAGGAAATTAGGGTCATACTACACTTTCACTTTAATATCTAAATAATAATTTTTTAATGAGATTTTATTCTTCTTTAGCTCTCTTAAGAACTCCAGTGTGGTGCAGAACAGTTTTCTGCAAGTGATGGTTTCTAAACCCTGGAGCACTTTGTTTGCCCATAGTTGGCTCTTAATACGTGTTTGAGACTGAAGGTAATGGAAGATTCCACCGCCTTCACTGTTAGGAATTTTCCAGACTGCAGTTAACCCATATTTCTGAACCAATGTAAGTGAATCAAAAGCAGTGATCTTCAGACTTTCACATGTATTAGGAATCGCCTGGGCATTCTGGTAAAATGCAGATTGCTGAGCCCAGCTCCCAGGAGTTCTTATTTAGCAGCTCTGGATGTGTCCCAAGTATCTCTTTTTAAAGAAAGGCACAAGCATTTCTGATTCAGGTCTTCAAGAACCACTGACTTAAAAGGACAGAGGGATTTTTTTTCAGTCCGCTGGGTTTCAAGCTACCATAGTACTTGTAAGATGGTAAGGCAAAAAGGAAATAAAGAATGATTATTCTAAATTATAAGTTTTTATAAGTTACTATAAACTTGCATCATTTGGAACACTTTTAATCAAAGTGAAGCATTCTGCAATTTTTTCCCTTTCCTCTTAAAAGCAATTTTCTTGGGGCACCTGGGTGGCTCAGTCATTAAGCCTCTGCCTTTGGCTCAGGTCATGATCCCAGGGTCCTGTGATGGAGCCCCACATCGGCTCCCTGCTCAGCAGGAAGCCTTCTTCTCCCTCTCCGACTTCCCCGCTTGTGTTCCCTCTCTCCCTGTGTCTCTCTCTGTCAAATAAATAAATAATTAAAATCTTTTAAAAAAAAAAGTAATTTTCTTTTGCCCCCCCCCAAAAAAATATATATATATATATTTTTTTTAATGGTGAAAGTAACATTTAAGGGGAGTTAAATCCCCTGGGGTCCTGTAAGCCTATTTCTGGCACCTCACCATCTTCGATCATTGAGCCCTACAGGATTATAAGAGGTACACATGGTAAGGCCTGAAAGAAAGAAGAGAATATACAGTCTTAGGGATGAAGAGTCAGGAGAACAGGAATATGGAAAATACATATTCCCAAGCACAGAAAAGGTGTGGTGACTTTACTCTCACAAGTGTAGATGCACTAAATCCTTGGTGGCCACTTATCTGAGCTCCCTTTTCATAGAGAAGGCACAACCTGTACATCAGGTTGCTTGCCCTTTGATACTAACACAATCACTAAACTTCACTGAAGGAGAATTAGCAGCATTCTGAACCGCCGGGGGGGGACCCTCTGTACCATTTTTCATACAGCGAGGCATTTGTGGCCTTAAGTGGACAACAACATAGGCACAACCAGCCTATCCCATGTATTTTTTAACTTCCATTCATTACCATGTCCCAGAAGCTGATTCTCAATGTGTTTTAGGGTCTCAGACCCCTTCTGCCTTTATTCTTCTGGTGTGCCCCCTGCATTAGTCCTTTGATCTCAGGAAAGATGAACAGTGATGTTGTGTTCTTCCTGTTCTTCCCTCTTCTCATATTTGTTTTCTTTGGGTGGTAGGTCCAAAGTAGGCACCTGAAAAAATGCCCCTTTAAATTCAGCAGCTCAGTGGTCATCTTCATTCTCCTGGGGAGAGGAGAATAGTTAATAGTTGATCTGGGCAACAAAACAAAACAAACTGGAAGTGTCACCTGACTTCATTTTCATAAGAATCTTGCTATCCTCTGCAGAAAAATATCCTACTAGGGCTTTAATTGTCAAGCAAATGGACTCTGCAGGATTCATTTTTTCCTCATAAAACAAAATTGTCAACTTCTTGGCACATACTCTTTTAGGCTGAACTGAATGTGTCCTATTGTATCTGCTTTTAGTGACTTGAAAATCTTTTATTTCCTCTTCTACTTGGCAACCATAAGCAAATAGATAAAAACAAACAAGAAGATACCAGAATGTTCACTGTAACTTTGTTAATGATCAGAAAAAAATAGAAACAGGAACATTCATAGAGAGAGAATTGAGTAAATTACTAGAACAGTAGCCATGAAAAAGAATAAACCAGATGCACATGAGTTGTCATGAAAAGATCTCCAAGATATACTATTAAGGGAAAAAAGCAAGATGCAGAACAAGTATGTAGAGTAACATGCCATTTATAATTTTTTGGTTTTTTAGGAGTTTATATATTTATTTGACAGGCAGGGATCACAAGTAGGCAGAGAGGCAGGCGGGGAGAGAGAGGAAGGGAAGCAGGCTCCTTGCTGAGCAGAGAGCCCAATGCGGGGCTCGATCCCAGGACCCTGGGACTAGGGACCTGAGCCAAAGGCAGAGGCTTTAACCCAATGAGCCATCCAGCCACCCCACCATTTATACTTTAAAAAATCTCTCTCTGTCTTTACATACACACACAAGCTTGTACAGACATACAGATTTTCTGGAAGGGTACTTGAGAAAGTGGTAAGAGGTGTTGCCTTTGAGTAGTGGAACTAGAGCGTGGAAATATACCTTTCATCTTATGCCCTTGGCTCTGTAGGAAGGTTCTTCCTTTTGCACATAATTGCTTTTACAGTAATAATTTTAAAATTCGTTAAAACATAGAATTAAATGATAACCTTTGTACTTGTTGATGTTCAGCTTCTCCTAGGGATTTTCATCTTTCTGCTTCCTTGGGCTCCGCTTTCCCTCCGAGCATTTGTCATGCCCATGCATGTCTACTCTGGGCTCCTCATCTTTGGAACGGTGATTGCCGCGGTGCTTATGGGAGTGACTGAGAAACTGTTCTTTGCCCTGTAAGTTGCATAGTTCTCCTAATTATATTATTTGAGCTATAAAATGTTAAATACTTGTTCCTTGGAAAAGCATAATTTAAAGTAACAAAATTTTAAAAATTAAAATGTATTACACATGTGGTATAGCATTAATAATGCTTGGAAGAAGGACCAAAAAGTCCAAAAAACTGTATCACTCTTACAAAACAACTACTGAAGTTAGGCATGCCCTTTTAATCTTTTTGATGTACATCTTTTTAAATTCATTGTGATTATGGTATACATACATTTTTATATCATGCTTTTTCCAATTTTTAAGTGCTCTAGGTGTTCCAGGTTGCTATAGTATTTTCATACTTACCATTTTTAACAGTTTCATGCTATTTCAATTGAGTTATTTTGGCATAACTTAAATTTCTCCTTAATGTCAAACTTTAAGGGAATTTATAGAAGGGGTACCAGTGTGCATTTTTAAGCAGATAAATTCAAGACTGTTTGACATGTGGCTGGATCGCCCTATTTGTAATTGGACACACTCTCTCTTTTTTGTAGGAATAGTTCTGGATACAGTAAGTTCCCACCAGAAGGTGTTTTCACAAATACCCTCGGCCTCCTGATTGTGGTATATGGGGCGCTCATTTTTTGGATAGTCACCAGACCACAATGGCAACGTCCTAAAGAACCAAATTCTGTCCTGCTTCAGCCAAACGGAGGCGCTCAAGAGGGAGCCGGAGGCTTAACCGTCAACTTTAGCAATGTGGACACACCAGATTCAAAATTAAACCACGAAGCCTCAGCAAAGAAAAGAAACTTCACTGCTGATGAGGTTGGCCAGAGATCCACCATGTAAAATGTTGTAGAGATGTGGCCCAATAACTTCACTTTTAAAAACCAGCCTTCCAGTTTAACTTCTCCTGTTTAGCCCCAAGATGATTGAGCTCTGCAGTCGATATTTATTTTAATCATAAAGTAGGATTCCTTGGAAGAGTTTGTATGGATTGAGGCCTATGATCTTACCTGAATTGGAAAGGAGACGATCTGTGTAAATAGTAGAAGATATAAATGGTGGTTATGTTACTTCTTTCTTATCATGGACCAAAATATTTAGCACAGTGCCTTACATAGAACAGATAATCAAAATGTGTCTCTCCAAAACAAACAAACAAAAAACTTAAAAAAACCAAAACCAAAAACAAAAATATGTCTCTCAGTTGGTAAATGTCATCAGTTAGCAGCATCTCTGGCCTCTTGTCATGAAGTCATTTCCTGTTAATTCCAGGAATCCAATCCTAATGTTTTAGAATCAGATCTGGGGCAGGGTTTATACTACACAGATAAGGAGGAGAGTGCAGAAAAATTCAGGAAAGTGACTGGTTCCCTTCTCCCAGTGACTGTCCCCTGTTATCTATCCCCCTCACTCATTTGAGCTCAGATTGGCCCTGGAGACCAGGGTTTGTATTAGAGCATTTTGGAGTGATGACTGAGCCAAAGGTAGCTAAAGAAATCTTCTCTTGTCAGACCTGGAAGTTTTTCCAAAACTCCACTGCATCTCAAAGTTTCCTTGGGGTTTGGTGTACTTTCTAATCCAGATTCCAAAACCTAATTAGTAGGGACCATGCCTGAAAACATATGTAGCATAAACTGTTCTCCACACCTCAAAGGGCACTTTTTCCCAAGTTTCTGGGTTTTTTGTTTTTACTAAAGATTTTGTTTATTTACTTATTTGACACAGAGAGATCACAAGTAGGCAGAGAGACAGGTAGAGAAAGAGGGAAGCAGGCTCCCTGCTGAGCCCAATGCCGGGGCTTGATCCCAGGACCCTGAGACCATGACCTGAGCTGAAGGCAAAGGCTTAACCCTCTGAGTTAAGCACCCCCCAAGTTACTGTTTTTATTTTAAAAAGTACTTATGTGGCACTTACTACATGCCAGACACTCTTCTAAGTACTTTACAAATATTAACTTGTTCAATCCTCAAACTTTATACTATCACTATCTCTATTTTACCACTGGGAGATCTGGAGGTGAGAAAGGTTAGTAACTCTCCCCAAGGTCATTCAGCTAATTGGTAGCAGAACTGAGGTTTGACACGTGGCTGACTCCTCAGTCCGTGACCCTAACCACTTCACTCTGCTACATTTTCTGTTCAATACTAGTTTGTGCCTACTCTGACTCACCCCTGGGTAAACCCCAGTTGCTGGAGTGCAGTGGTGTTGTTAAAGTGTACCTTCTGGCTCTGTCTTCCAAGGCAGATTCCTCAAACAACCAAGAAAAGGGGTCCACCTGTACCTGAAAATAGATCATGGCATCCCACCATTGCCGACCAGCCGTGGCCCACCTGGAGGCCCCTTTGATCTTAAAATTGTGTCTTGGTAACAAAGAAAGGTTTGGGCAAAAACAGCTGTAACTTTCAAGATTAATCAATCACAATTCTTGTTCTTCAGCATCTTAGCTGCTGAATAGCTTTGGGTTTGGGGATTAGAGAGACTCACCTCATAGTCTGCCCTTCCCAGTGGCAACAGCTAAGGTCCTTCCTGACGTTGGTGGAGTTTTAGGGGACATCTGGAGCTTTGGGTTCTCAGTAGGAATTGAGACTCAGAGGTGACCTCGTTCGAGCGTGGAGACCGCTGTCTAGACTCAGGGCCGACTTAAATTAAAACCTAGAGTTGGGGCACCTGGGTGGCTCAGTCAGTTGAGTGTCTGACTCTTGGTTTCCACTCAGGTTGTGATCTCATGGGTCGTGGAATGGAGGACCCCTTTGGGCTTTGTGCTCATCAGGGAGTCTGCATGAAGATTCTCTCCCTCTGCCCCTCCCCCAGCTCACGTGTATGTGCATGTGCGTGCTCTCTCTCTAAGATAAATACATAAATCTTAAAAAACAAAACAACCCCCCCCACCCTGCAGAGCAGTACCTATGCTGAAATGATGCTTTTCATTTGGGTTTTTTGTTTGTTTCCCTGTGATTTTAAACTGGAGCATTTTAATGTGGGTAAAAACGTTACAGTTTACACCAGACACATTCAACCTTTTTGGTGCTTAGTGGAGTTCCTTTTAAGTGAAGCGGTAATTACCTCCATAGATTGAATATGAGCTTCACTCCATCGTATCGGTTAAACTTGACGGCTAACCATTGAAGATTCCCTTGCCAAAATACTCTTTTCTTCCTATTTAATTCTATTTCCAAAATTGGTAATGGTGTCGTAAGTATGCCCAGTGCCCAGCCCAGTACCTGGCATGCAGTAGGCACAATTCAATATGGGTAAATCATGCTACAATTTTGGTGTCAGATGGAAGTAATAATTGCACTGTCATACACAAACATATTTTTGATAAATGAGTGTTTCTTTATATAAAGGTGCCCAAAATTCCAGGAGTTTTTGGAAGGGGAAGGGGTCAGTGACAGTATCAATGATTGAGGCCAAGGAAGAGGTTACTAGTGAAAAGTTAATTATGGATTTGGCATGAGAATATTCTATTCCATTGCAAAGTATTTGAGCACCCATCATCTCAGCCCTTTATTTTCTCTCTCTTGTGGGCTAATGTGAGAGCAATCTTACGGATATTATAGGAACTTCTTTCTTTCTCAACCTTTATGAAAACAATGCATAGTAAAATATATCTAGAAAACCTTTCCGAGACTCTTCTTTTAATGGGCTTTTTATTCTAATGGTAATTGTACCTTTATCTTTCAAAAGCTGGTATTTCCTACCTAAAGCCATCTCTCCCCAAAATATCTCATTAAAAAGTCCACAAAAAGAAAGAAGGGAGAAGAAAGCCTTAGGTATCATTTCCAAAACAGTGATTGAAATCTTCCCAAGTAATTATAGCTTTTATCATATGGAGAGGTAGTCTGGCTTGGCTTACCCCATAATCTAATTTCTGGGGTTGGGGGTGGGAGGGAGCTTTATTTTAACACTCATCTAAATCAACACTAAAGCCTTTTCTCTGGAAGGATTTATTGAGAAACTCAAATGAATATGCTTTTTGAATTAATGTTCTCAAAGACGTACAGTTTCTTGTGCTTCTATGTCAGACTGAATTCACCCTCCAGAAACTCTCCTTCCCTTGCCTTGTGTGGTTTCATGTAAGCCACCAGTTCGAAACAGCATCTCAGCCCTTACAATCAAATGACAAAGAAGGCAATTGGACTTTCTCAGGAATACTGACAAGTGGTTTCTGTTTTCTAAAGGACGAAATAAAGAGAATGTCTTGTTTTTAATTAGGCTCTTTTCCCTGCTGAGTTGAAAATTGCAGTACCATACCGGTTGACCACAACTGCCAGATCTAAAAGCTCAAAGAAAGGAGTCAAGTGTTATGCTAATTTTATTGCTGTGTGATAGAATTTTCTATCTTGTTATGCCCTTTCTTAGAGAACTCCGACAGAACACTGTAACTGCTACGTCTCAGAGCTGCACATAAGGAAAGTACAGTTAAAAAAAAAAAAACTATTATTTTTTTATCCCTTAGAAACCTGAAAACTCTGAAGTGGAAAATATTACTGTGTTTAAATTTTGCCTTCTTCTGGAAAAATATGAAGTAGCCCAAATATTTTATAATTTTGTAGAAAAAAATACGCATCTATTTTTTCTTGACTTGTCTTTATATAGTAATAAAAGTTATTTTGGAAGCTCTTTGTGTGTGTTAACCATTTGTCCCGCTGCAAGTGCACTTTATTCTTCAGCAAGTTTCTGTCCCATGTTTTTTGTTCTGGGGGGAAAATTCTTTTTTTAAGTTTCTTTATTGAAAATGCTGTCAGATTTAAAAAAAAAAAAGATTTTATTTATTCATTTGACAGAGAGAGAGAGAGGGACAGCAAGAGAGGGAACACAAGCAGGGGTGTGGGAGAGGGAGAAGCAGACTCCCCACTGAGCAGGGAGACCAATGCGGGGCTCCATGCCAGTACCCTGGGATCATGACCAGAACCAGAGGCAGACGCTTCATGACTGGGCCACCCAGGCACCCTGCGGTCAGATTTTTTTGAAGTGTACTCTGAGTACCATACTGTTTCCATTGCTGGAAGGATGAGAGGATTGTTTCAAAACTGCCAAGGTATCCTCCTCTGTGTGGGAGCGGGAACTGGAGCCACAGTCCGGGGCAGAAGGGAGCCATAGGTTTATGCAGCCAAAGCAGATACGGTTTAAGTTGGAAAAACATGGAAGGAGGGCCCTGTTAAGAGAGCCGATTATCACAGAACTCTGTGCTTACAGTCACTCATCCTTGAGAAAGTACATAACTCATTATGGATGAATTGTTAGATTTTTTTTTCTTTCCAAATAAAAAAGGATTAGTCACATCTAAGTAGTGCTGATGCTCCTTGCATCTTAATTTTAACTGCTCATGTAGCTTTTTTTTCACCTACTTTTTATCTCCTGAGAAATGTTAATGGCATTTTATATTGTATACCTATAATAACACCATAATATTATGTATACTATTATGCAATAGAGCAATAATATTGGGTGTGAACTAATTTTTATGTTACATCATATTTTGCCTTTGATTTATATTATTAACTTCAGGGGTACTGTATTTTATTTCAAGTTGACTTTAATAGACAAGTACTTTTGATACTTTATAAACACATGGCTCAAACACAGTAACATGTAATTTTACATATGTTAGCTCATTTAATTTAATTTGCGGTTGTACTGGACAATTACTGAACAATTGTCCACCATGCCCAGCCTTCCCAACACAGCTTTGCTTTACTGACTAGTGACTGTAGGTGATAGATAACCTGTTTCCTTAGCCGAAGCTAATTGGTACCACTCGAATGCCTCCTCTACCATAACTGGCCAACACACTGTGAAGTAGCCTGGTATGAAATGAAAATGTCCTCTTTCATTTCATTTCAGATTGAGGAATGAGTATTTCAGAGGATTTTGGTTCACTCCCTTCTAGGAATTTGAATAGGGAAATATTTCAAGAGTAAGTCAGGGAGAACAGAAGTTAAATGAATACCTAGAGACAGGAGCCCTGAGGAGATGTAGACCAGGGGTCAAGAAATTGTCTATAAAGAGCCAAATAGGTTTTGTGGACCACATGGTTTCTGTGACAACTACTCAGCTCTGCCATTGTAGCCAAAAGGGGCCACACACAATAATAAATGAACATGACTGTGTTCCAAAAGCTTTATTTATAAAAACAGTGGCAGGCCACATTTGTCCCACAGGCCAAAGCTTGCCAATCTCTGGTCTGGACCATGAGGTAAGACCATGACCTTACATGAGAGACTGAAATGATGAGAAATCAAGAACTATGTGATAAAAAGAAAATACCTATCTGGTAGAGAGGAAGAATTGGCAGGTAGTAATAGGAAACATAAGTGGGCAGTGGAGTAGTTGTGGGGAGGGTGGCCAACTCAAATTAATGGCAGGTACCAGAGTGAAGAGCCAAGAAATCCTGCTGAGAGTTTCTCAGGGCGGCAATAGATTCAGTTCCATTGAAACTGCCCCTCTGGGAATTATGGGAGATTCCAGTCTCTTTTTTGGTCCTAAATGAAATTCAGTGAGTTAAATACCATGAATCCTGTCATGAATGTGAATTCTCTTAAGGTATGGGCTCAGATTCTCAGAATGTCACTTCTGCATTCCGTTGGCTAAAGGAAGACAAAAGGTCAGCCCAGATTGAGGGAAGCGACAACAGATTTCATCTCCTGGTATAAGGAGCAGTGTGTACATACAGGAAATGAGAAACTGATCGTGGTCATCTCTGGAG